TAGAATAGAATAGAATAGAATAGAATAGAATAGAATAGAATAGAATAGAATAGAATAGAATAGAATAGAATAGAATAATTCTTTATTGGCCAAGTGTAATTGTACATACAAAGAATTTTAGGAAATCTGGAGGAAAAAAAATCACACATGGGAAAATCAGTAAAGTAAAAACATGAGCTCACCGCAAATTCATCCTGCCACTGATGTTCTTTCTGGAATTTTTCTGCTGCTTCAGCCAGACGCTATAAAGAAAAGAGAAGAGAAGAAATAACGTGTTAAACCATTCCGCACCGGACATGACAATCCTGGAATAAGGTAAGGGTCATTTTCTAATCTTAACATTGTTGGGTGGCTAATCCGAGGATCCCCACAGGAAACAGATGTAATAGGTAATCTAATATTACCATGCATCAGGGGTGGGATTCCAATTTTTTAACAATCGGGTCTGTGGGCGTGGCTCCGTGGGCATGGCTAGGTGGGCATGGCCATGTGACTGGGTGGGTGTGGCTTCTTCTTGTTGTTTTTTAGCAGCGCACACCCTCTTTTTTGCTCCCAGAAGGCTTCCCTGGGGTCCAGGAAGACAAAAAATGGAGCGCAGAGGGGTGCCCACCCTGTGCATGCCCCTTTTTTGCCTCCTGAGCCTCAGGGAAGCCTCCTGGGTGAAGCAGTAAGACAGTGAGAGGGATCCCATCACAGCTGATCATCAGAACAGCTGATCATCGGGAGGAAAATAACTTAAGGAGTGACTGGGCAGGGGAGAATGAAGTCAGTGATGTCACACATGCGCGATAAAGACTGAGTGGGCAAGGAGGGGTGGGCAGAGAGGGGCGGGGCCACCCAGGGGCACAATTTGCCGGTTCTCTGAACTGCACAGAATCGTAATAATCGGTTCTATAGAATCAGTCCGAACTGAATCCCACCCCTGCCATGCATTAGTCAAGATCATTAGCCACCGTTCTTAAGAATACAAGCTATTTTAATGTGACTCCTGAAACAGCCCATGAATGTTAAATATAATTTCGTAGTGAATAAAGAAGAAGTGAGAAACAAATGTATTGGATTCAGGTTTTATTTACAAACAGATCTAAGTCACATTTCCTGAACACATAATTATTCTTCCAACCTTTTTTTTTTTTTTTTTGCTCTTCTCCAATATTTGCTATCTATTTCTCCATATGGGAATAACAAATGAAACATCAAAGAGAAAATAATCATAGACTACGGATAATTGCTGGTAATAATAAAATGATATATACAGGCAGCCTTTGACTTAAGACCACAGTGGACTCCCAATATTTCTGTTGCTAAGCAAGACAGTTGTTAGGTAAGTTTTGTCTTGTGTTAAAAGCTTCTTTGCCAGAGTTGTTAAGTGAATCATTTCAGTTGTTAAAAGTAACCTGGTTATTAAGTGAATTTGGTTTCTCCCATTGACTTTGCTGGTCAGAAGGTCGCAAAAGAGATCACGTGACTCCCCAGGACGTGTTGTGGTTAGCTGGCCGCAGGTGCGGACAGCTGAGGAGAGTGAGGACTCAGATGAGGGGCCAGGACCATTAGGGAGTGGACTGCTGCCTTCAGAGATTGTGGGGGCTGGCAACAGCAATGAGGAGGTCCCCGAGGAGCCTGTGCCCAGTGCATGTGCACACAGGGCTACTCGCAGGAAAGAGCAGCTGTAGCAGCACGGGCAACTCAGGAGTAAGGCTGCAAGGTAATGGCAACAGGGAAGCAGATTCACTGAACAACCGTGTGGCTGTCTTAACAACCACAATGATTCACTTAACAACTGGGACGAGAAAGGTTTTAACATGTGTTCTATATTAGGTTTCCCCAAAAAGCACTAAGCAGACTTTTTGTCCCAGCAAAAACCCCTTTATTAAACAAATGTGAATTTCTTGCATTCACATTCAGCCAACGGCCTGGAAAACAGTCTTTCAAGGGTGTAATTAGAAGCACAAACCTTATCTATCTTGGAAAGCTGACTGGTAAATATTTCCAAATGCAGTGCTGCCAGGGAAGGCTTTAGCATAAAATCTCTAGGATGCATAGACAGATCTTCACAATGATGGAATGAAAAAACGAATTCTTTCCTGCAAAAGCCCCCTCCCCTTTTGTTCCTCTTATGGGAGGGGCCATTCTTAGTCCACCTGTGGGTTTACTCCCATGTTGATCCTTAGTTCATAATTGTTCTTTTCTTTTGGCAACTCTGCACATGAGCAGGCTGGGAACCGGCTCCAGCTGCTCCTCTGCCTCACTGCTGTCCGAGCCCAAAGGCAGCTGATGACTGCCAGCCTGCCCTGGCCCCATCCCTGCCTCTGACACAGAGCCCTCGTCTGAGCCTTCCTCAGGGACTGGCCCAGATTCCTCCCCAACCTCCTCACTGTCCGAATCTGCTGCCAGCTCCATCAGCTGCCGGAGGGCCACAACAACATGAGACAAAATTAACTTAACAGAAGTCTCGCTTAGGAACAGAAATTTTAACTATATCTGGTGGTTTTTGCATGTTTGTTCAGGACATCCTAAATTCGAGTTTGAATGCTCCCATAAATAGTATATTTTGTCAATTTGTGGAGGTGCAGGAGTATAGGCCGAAAACACAAGTGAAAAAAATAATTTTCCACCAGTTGATTAAGATGAATCCTGTTCTTCATAAACTCTACGCTACTTTAAGTCCTCTGCACAATGAACAATTCCATGATGAGAAGAGAGAAAGAACCTCATGTTTTGATGAAATGCAAATATTAACATCCTATGATCACACCCTGCCTGAACAAACAAAAAAAAGTGAATTAAAAAGCCAGCCACGTATAAATAAAACATCTCCACGATAGCAGACAAATCAGATGGAATAAAACAATGAATAATCATTTTGGAGTACATAAGAGTAGGATGGATCCAAACGCAGAGAATATTTCTGGGCTGTTTCACACTTTCTCATCTTCCGCTGGATGTTTCGGATCAGAAATTGTGTGGCTGGTATGGAATGTTGCCTATTTGAATGCAAATGTATGGGATTCACTCTTCCCGAATGCACCAGTGTGCAGATAGTTTTGTGTGAGCTGTTTGGGTCTGCGAATAAAATCTCGCTGTTTTCCTGCTTGATTTTGGTCTGGAAAGATCTCAGATAGCAGAACTAAAGGTTAACTTGTGTCCACTTTCTCCATCATCTCTAAAAAGCATTGACCTGAGATCCTTCTATCACAGTTTCATGTTCTTCTCTATAATCCTTGTTATGCACAGCCACCTAGGGCATTATGGGTTATTGTTAATAGATGGGGGGGAAGCTTTGTTCAAATAAATATCCCGTATCGTGTAACTGTTGCTTCCCAACGTTCCTCTACGGTCATTACAATAATTCAGATGCAACAACTTACAAGGCTCATGTCTGAAAAGGTTGGTCTCCTTTGAGATTCTCAATCATCCAGATTGTGGTTGTACTATTTTTTTTCCCAAAAAGCAAGTGGACTTACTTGGTTTTGTTCCTTGAAAATGTTTCGTTGCACGTCCAAGAAGCTTCTTCACTTCTAACTGAGTTGGAACTGAGGAAGCTTCTTGGATGAGAAGCGAAATGTTTTCAAGGGAAGAAACCAAGAAAGTCCACTTGCCTTTTGGAAAAGGATCTTTGAGTTGGTCTTCTTTACTTCTTCAGATTTCATTGGAATTTCTCTTCTCCTCCCTTTCCTTCCTTCCTTTCTTCATCTTCTTTCCTGTCTTCCTTCCTATCTTCCTTCCTTCCTTCTTGTCTTCCTGTCTTCCTGTCTTCCTTTCTTCCTTCATTCTTGTCTTCCTTAATTCTTTCCTGTCTTCCTTTCCTCCTTCCTTCCTGTCTTTCATCCTTCCTGTCTGCCTTCCTTCCTTCTTTCCTTCCTATCTTTCTCAGTCAATAATATACCATTATTGATAAGGCTTTTCTTCTTGGTGACCACCATTCAACACAACACAACAACACAAAACAGTGATATTGTCATCTACTATGAATTTGGATTTGGATTTTATTGTACCATTTGATGTATAGTTTTTATTTTCCCGTGCGCACTGAATTGCAAGTAGCTCAGAGCCTTGGGAAGATTTAGCAGCATAGGCACTGTAGCAAATAAAAACAAACAAACAAATACCTCTTGCATATTCCAATAAGTAATCCTTCACACAAAGGAGTCATTAGAAAATGCAAATATAATTTTTATGTGCCGTCGCTTTTTGAAGGTGCACGCACATATTTAATAAGGAGAATCAATGTTCCTTCAGCCATCTATAATTCAGCAAGCCAGCACTTCTTACTGTGGAAACAATTATCTTTTGGAAATGCTGTCTTCGCCTTTAAGGAGAAACTTCCTGACAGCTAGAACAATTAATCTGTGGAACAACCTGCCTCCAGAAGTTGTGGGGGCTTCAACACTGGAGGTTTTTTTAAGAAAAGACCAGAGAACCATTTGTTTCAAATGATATGGGGTCTCCTACTTGAGCAGGGAGTTAGACTAAAAGAACTCCAAAATCCCTTCCAACTCTGTTATTCTGTTAAATCAGTTCTGGTCTTCAAATTCAGAAAGAGAAATAAGTGGAGAGAAACTGGGATGGGCTTCCTCTGAATCAAGGCAGGGGATGGCTACTGGGGGCGAAGACTCTGCGGGGCTCGGAGAGCCTCCAATAACCTCAGAAAGACAAGCAGCAAGGGAAAGTTCTTAATAGGCTTAATTGAACTTCTGGGCATTCATCCAAGAGCATTTCACACCTTGTAAAAGTGTTGCAAGCTAGATAAACAATCCACTCAGCACTTGTGAGGGAGAGCCATTGAGAAAACCAGATAACATAGCCACTAACCTCCAAGGGGATTAATTCCCAAATAATAAGAATCACGTAACTCACCAAAAACTCCACTAAGACTCCAAGATCCCTCTCACAGTCACTGCTATTAAGCCTGGTTTTACCCAGTCTTTTATTTAAGTATTAAATGCACGAAACAATAAATAACTTTTTGGTATTTTATCTTTTTTTAGGTAATTAGGGCAAAGAAGCAACATCAAGTTGGCCACACCCACCCCATCACATGACCACCCACCCACACCCACCCAGCCAGCCATTAGGGCAGAGAGACCCTGGCTATAAAATTTGAAGCCCAGCCCTGAATCAAGGGATTTTTTTCCTATCTCTTGATAAATAGAAAAATCAACCACGAAATAGAAAGAACAAAACGGGAAAGATGCTTGTAAGTTATAGCATTTACTTGGTGAACCATCTGAACTTTTCTGCT